AAACGAATATACCGGAGAGGATGTTTTGCGAGGATGTTGATACCATCACTGTGTCCATCTAAACTAGCAACGAATGGCTTTGCAAATACTCTGAAATGAACTGATATCATTGTGAGGAATTATGATGTTCGAAACAACAATAATAATGACTGTAGGATGGAAATACTCAATGACAACAGGACTGATAAGGTAAGCAATGAGATGACCATAAGATGAAAATAGTTACAAAAATGAAAAGCTCGTGAATTTTTTAAAGACTGAACAGAAGGCGTCGTTACCTGTTGAGTTTAGCTGCATTAACGGCACGTGTGTATTCAGTAACCACTTGGAATGGGTCTTCGGGAACGTTGAAATTCCGAGGTGCTGAACGAAACAGATAACATTTAGAGAAATACGGAAATAGACTCCGTGGTCAATGCCACAGATTACACTTGAACCTCATGCATTAATATAGTAAAATCACTTGGATCGAAGGGAGATAAATACTCAAGAATGATGTTTAGATGCAAAAGCTAAATTTGAAAAGGCGACTAACCTTTGAAAATATCGTTTTTGGTTTCTCGCTGATAATCTTGAGGATTCCTAGACAAAACCTTCACTTTCATGACACTGAAAAATTGAAATTGAGTGAAAATATTGAGGAAAACAATTCATTTTCCCTGGAAATTACTAATGTAAGATTCTACGAGGAGACACGCATACGGACTTATCAAACTTAATATGAATCTCGGTTATTGTGTTGGCACATCCGTCACAACTCAACAATATAATTCGTCTGAAATTTTTTGGCGTTTGAAGGTCTACTAGCCTTTTGACATACTATAGCGAATAAGCTAAAATGGCAACTTGGCCGTTGCCTCTAAAAAAATGTTTTATATTTTCAATCGAAATTTGAATGAAGATTTGTTTTGCGTTGAGTTAATTGTTATTTCTGTGCGGCACTCTGAAGTCATTCTAGATTGTTTGCAAATACGCTGATAGAATTTCAGGTTCAAAGTCTAATCGCGTTCGCGCAAGACTGCAGCTACAATAGTTCAGCACTTTGAAGAATGAGTGACGACAGCTCCACAGAGGGGAGTTCCAGTAAAGTCCCACTTAAACGATTCGGATCACCTGTGAATGGCGGCCGACTGGATGGAACGCCGAACAAGAAGCGCGCAAAGGTATTTCCTGGACAAGTTGACTTCTATTTGTTTGTTATCATCAAAATAATCATCAAATTATTAAATTTGCGTTGTTCGAGAGTTTCTATTCCTGTTGTATTTTATGTTCAGAAACAGTCGGAATCCGAGCTGGCTGTCTTATCTGGTGACGACAACGCGGAGCAACAGGCAACAAGTCAACCGCCTCGAATATCTCCTGGAGAAATGTTGACAATCGTTCAAGTAGGAGCTCAGTGATGATCTCTTCTGATTCTGTTTTTGAATTATTCACTCGATTTTTTGTGTTTTCTTGAAATTTTTTACTTCTTTACAGAATATTAATCAGCATCTGCAAAAGAACAATTCACTTCGTAAACGTCGTTTCTCAAGCTTTACCGACTACGACTCTTTCGATCTCCCGGCTAATATCTCAAGCGAGTGAGTCTACTCGATTATTTGTTTTACTTTTG